GAGAGGTTATTGAAAAAAAATATATATATTTTTTTTTACTTTGTACACTGTGCAATCTAGTGTCCACAGGGGTGGGAATTCTTATACACCATGACTCAGCTGTCGGTCTGACATGTTGCCGTTTTCTAAAAGTTTAGAACTGAATTCCATTGTGAAGTTTTTGCATTTTCCTTGAGATCTGAACATTATTTCAAGGGTTCTTCTAGGGTAAAAGGGTTGAGAAAGACTGCTGTAGAGAGGGAATTGTACAATTAAAGAACAAAACACACGCTCTCACACACGCTTGGGCCTCCTCAGATGTAACTAACATACATGCACTGAATTCTCTTCTCCTTTGAATGAAATTTTGACCATAAACCTTCTTTCATGAAACTGAATGAGAAACGGCTGGGAAAAAATGAAGTTCTATGCGAGTCATATGTTACATATCAACATCCACACACATAGAGAAAACAGAAAAGTGCATTGATCCCCTGCTCACTTTGGTCCTCATATTCTTCAGTGTGTGGCATTTGCCCCTTTCTTCCACAAAAGGTTGCCCTCCCTTGATCCAGGAGATCACAATATTTTCATTGGAACTATAAAACATTTTATGCAAGGTTCCCTCTGGTTTTTTTCCATAGTATATGCTGCCCCCTAGTGCTGGCAAAAGCATATTGCAGCTGTCATATCAAAACTCCCGATCAGATTTGCAAATTCTGGCTCTTCCTCTCTAGCATCTAAGCATAGCACAAACTTGTCTCTTGGTCATGCCTTGGTTGTGCCTTCCAGAGACGTTCTGGTTTGTGCAGCGGGAAAGTCTGGATCTTTCCAACCAGGCTGTTCCTCCTGAACCATCCAGGTCTCCAAGCCCATTCTCCTGCTTGGAGACTGGAATGAGTCTGAACAGCAGCTGATCAGCAGTAGTGACGAAGACAAAGTTGAAGTGGGATACAGCAAGCAGCCATGTCATGCAGCAACTCTCCTCACTCCTCTCAACAGTTGTTGGCTCCTTTTGAGCATGGTTTTAGCACTCTTCTGGAAGAGTGCTAAACACACGTCCAAAAGGAGCCCAACTATCAGCAAATATTGTCTGGAAATCAAGCTCCCTTTGAGCAAAACCCCCGTGCAAGAACAGAACAAATCTTGACAGATGGCTAAACACATTTTCAAGTCAACGGCTTTGAGTAATGGCATCAGGGACCATACTCCCAAAAGTTACTCTGTCCCAAGAGGTACATAGGGCCAAGACCAAATTCAATTTGATTTAATTTTAATTATACTCTATTGTATTAATTTCTGCTTCTGGCACATTACAGTTTTTGGAGATAGCAGATTTTGGACTCATTCACAAAACTTGATTGGAGAATGGGAATTGTGGTCAGATATTATGGACACAAATTCCTGGTGCAGGCAGAGGTTTATGAATGCTTAATATCTAGTTCTCTACCTCTAAGTTTCTAATAAAGTCTGTGATATAGAACTAGGATTACTGCTAACTCTTTTCCCCCCTTGGAAGGCTCATTTTCAACGGCTACATGACAAGCAAGTCCAATATCAGTGTCCATATGCTGTGTACCTGTTGAATTCAGCAAGCGCAGCAGACTGAGAATTCGGTTCAGTTATTGGATTATATATAAATCCAAGGACACACAAAACCAAACTGGATTATTTTCTTCACAAACGTGATGAAAAGAACCTGAAATAGAACCATCTGAATGTGATAGAAGGCACATGTGAAAGCTTTGTTGGTGCCTATTTTTGGCCCCAGACAGCTCTTTCCAAAGATGATCTACTGTGATTTTAGCAAGTTGGCTCTTAAACGTGCTAGTGAGACATCTCAAACCTAACTGATCTCTCCAGCTCAAAGGCCACCCTGTCTTCCAAAAATACTATTTTTAAATTTTTTAAGCAATCTTATCTGTGTAAGAACCAAAAGTCAGAAAGAACTTGGTATCTGATCCTGATTATGAAACCATAAGAAAACAGCTGTAAAATAACACATTTCCCCATAAATGTTATGATCACACAGACATTAAATCAGACTGACAGAGCAACCTTTTCACACAACTTATTTCCTTTCCTGCTTAGATGAGAAAACAACATCCAACTATTAAATAATTCCCCAACAAAGGCAGGCAAAGGATCATTAGAAACGATGGCACCAATTTGATATGTTTTTTCTTATGATGATGATTCAGGCATTGAACAAAATGAACAATCTGTATTTTAGGATGTTATGGAGATTTCTACAGTATTTGTTTTTGCTGATAGGGAGAATTAAAATTAAGGTGGTGCCAATGGATGCATTAACATTTGAAAAGAACTGTGAAGATTCTCCCCAAATGGCTAGTCTTCTTTGTATAGACTTCCATGTATTCTTCTTGGTAATGACAGAGATGTGGCTGTTGATTTTTTTCCAGATGCTTTTTTGACTTTTCAAGCCAGCCTACAGGACTAGAATTCCCTCATGGTCTCCCATCCAAAGACTAACCAAGTCCATCTGTGCTTAGCATCTGAGCCCAAGCCAAGGCTGGCAAAAATTTATTTGGTAGCCTTTATCATACTTTGTTACCCACTAGCTTACTTTGGTCTGGTGGAAGAGGTCTAAAACACACTTCCAAACATAGCGATGAGTTGCAACTACCCTTGGCTTCATTTTCTAAGAATACCTACAGGTTTACCCTATGTACAGCTCTACCCTATGTAGAGCTACAGATTTGACGCTGGGAGCTGGTATTTCGCTTTGCAGTACGCAAGCTCCTATTCATTTCATGAATTAGCATTCAGGCAAGGAGCATGGCATGTGCTCCATGGGCATCGCATTCCATATTACCTTGGATTAAAATGGTACTGCAGCAGATCAAGGCATCTGTTTTCTTCTAGGATAGGTCTTCCCCCGGATAAAGTAAATGGATTCTCCGTGTCCTTACTATGGCTGCAAGACTGATATTGCAGCATTGGAAAGATACATGTATGGCCCCATTCACTCAATGGATTGAAGACCTGATTGCGCTTGCCACCTATGAGCGGATTGCCTATAGACGTAGACTTAGCATGGACAAGTATAATGAAATATGGGACTCATTTATGCAAAATACAGTGGGTTAAAAAAAAAACATGGTCATATAAATGTATTAGAAATATATATGTACTTGAATAACATTTGAATTAGGTAAGTATATATGGAACTGTAATCATTTACTGTTATAATGACATTAATATTTTTTTCTTTGTTGTATTTCTTTCACTTTTTTCTTAAAGCACTTCCTATTTTTTTTCTACCTCTCTCTCTCTCTATATATATATATATAAAGATAGCTTTCCCCAAATAACAACAAAATGGAAGCTGGCTGTAAATACTTGACCATCTCAGTGGACTCTGGCATCCTTGCCAGCACGGGATTGAATTGTTGAGAGATCTCATTGAGACGCCAATTTGTGAGCAAGGTGCCATCTGTTCCATCTACTATCTACCATTAAAAAAAAAAAAAATTCATAAGAAGCAGTCACTCATTCAAAATGACAAGGAAGGTTACTCTCTTATAGCACATTTGTGCTGCTGATGCTACAGAGAACAAGTCAAACTATATCCAGAAAAAAATCAAGCTGGAAAGAAAAGAAAGAACAAGAGCTGTGAAGAGAATGACCACCTTTCAATTTGGATTTCAAAGGCATGAATGCAAAACTTCTGCAGGAAACCACATTGCTCATGATTTTGTTATGAACCCTAAGCAATCAACTTTGGTAGGATGTGTTACGATATCAGATTACCTAAAACACAGAATGCTGAGAGGTGTCAAGTCCAGTGTTTTACTCAAGAGGAGTTGGGAGAGAGATGAATGAGATTGGATTATTCCACTGTTCTTTCCTTCCTTCCCCCAGCACACACCATCCTCTTCTTAAACCAATGTTTTAGCAACACTGGACAACACTTATAATCTTGAACCAGCCCAGCCACTGGGAGCTTTGGATTTGCAGTTCCCTCTCAATCATTAATGCATTTGATGCAGAACTCTCAAGTGTTGGGAAAAGTTCTAAAATGATCATAAAGAAAGCAGAGGGAATTCTTTCCAAGAGACAAGCTCCTTCTCACTCAGCCAAGCTACTCCAATGAATCCCAGAATGCATAATTTGTTTGCATCTTGTATTTGATTTATATCGCAGTTTCTGTGACATGGAATGAATAGTTTCTCCAGGGTGGAGAACAGTTCTGCACAATCATGGGTCTATGCATACACGAAGGTTGGAGAAGTCAGTCAAAAAGGATTCACCTTTTTTGCGGTACTCAATCTCTGGTCAGCAACAGAGACTGAATGAATGGTCTTGAAAAGCCCTTGCTTTGGCCAAAATTGCCAAGTCAAAGTCTCAGTGTTTTGAGTCGCACAACTGAGCACAGCTGAGTCAATACACTGGTACTTTTCCCTGTTCTCTTTTCCCCCAAATTCAGCATTTTGAAGTAATGCCACGCTACATTACCAGCCAGTTTCATTTTGCCTTCGTTGATTTTATTTCCATGCCTAATGAAGGCCAACTGAAAACTTCATCAAATTTCATTATCGCTTATAAGGTTCACAAGCATCGCATTTTATTTAAAAATAGCAGAACTTGACACTGGGTGATTTTTGGTAATTATCTGTGGAAAATATATCCCAAATAGACATTCTCTAGCTACGTGAGTAAGGTGAGCATCGCCCAAGTAATATTCAGTACTAGAGAAAGGATGTACTTTCTCAAAAACCATGGTTAGGATCCAAAGACCTACATTTAAGTGTGCACAAAGGCAGTCTTGACTTTTGAACAAATGAGCTGTTCTCCTACCACAATGATGTATCAAAAGCAGCTTGACAATCTATCCTTCCTTCAGTGTAACTGCAGGACTCTTCACAATATCAGTGTGGCATTTGGTAAAGGTGGTGGAACCTTTGGTCAGTCGTTTTAACACTGAGTGTGATGTAAAGTTATTTCATTTCCAGCACTGCCATCAGTATAGATTCTAACATAAAGACAAAGCAGGAAGGTGGAGTTCAAAGAAGTTGATGGGAAACTGTTTATTATGGAAGACGATATAAATAGAGAGATATATGTATGCGGGGACTGGTCTTGAAGGCACCATCATTCTGAAATCAACACTGGATTCTACATGCAGGATTTTAAATAGTAAACTTTTACATAAAATTTAAGGACATGTGACATCCAACGGAAGAATGGCTTGGCTCAATGGGACATGGAACGAAAGGACCAGATTTCCTTCTGATTTATATATAACATTCAAACTTCTCAATATACTTATTCCACGAATATAAAAAATAATCTTTTATATTTCTTTTCCCCATTTTCATTTAGGAAAATTTCATGAGCAGAACTTTACTTACCTGCACAACCACCACTAAAATCAACCCTGGTGGTGTAAAAGTTGAGTTTGTTAGACTGAGCATTGCTGTAGTCAGGTAAATAAAACGGTGGTTCTGCAAGATTTGGACTCTGAATATAATGCCTCAGTCCAAAATATGGGATAAACACCTGGGTACCTACAACTTCACCTCTAGCATGCTTATTGCCAAGAGAGTCCACAATCTTCACTCCTTTTTGGAATTTTAATGCCACCTTGAAAAAAATCAGCTCAGAAAAAAAAAATGTGTTTTTTAAGACAAAATTTGTTGTGAGGACCAATAGGTGAACTCAAACAAGAGGAGGCATAGCTTTCTTCATCAGGCACAACCACCAACTAAATACAAAGCATAAAAACCCCAAGCGCAAACATAAAAGCAATGTTAGAAGTATAAATTACACAAGTTTGTAAAACTTCTAAACAGCTTAGGTACTGATTTTTTTAAAATCACCTGTATTAGAATGGTGCAAGAAATGCAAGCAAAAAGGTACCAAGCATCCAGGTTTCAAAGAATCAAATTTAGTAGGAGATTTATTCATTGACTATCATGTACAATCATGTCTGAAATGAAGAACCACCAAAATCAACCCTGGCGGTGTTAGAGCTGGCTGTGTAAGACTGAGGGCTGCGGTATTCCGACAAATAAACCCGAGTAAGTGAAGAATACAAGGCATGGAGGGAAGTGAAGAGGATGTTATTTCTGCAGAGACATTCCAGCAGCTCTATATTCTTCTCTCATAGCATTTTCCTCTTCTCAAATTCCTTGAGGATAAAGAAAAAGAGAAAGGGGAAGTTTTACTACAGCTGCAGCAAATAGTGGCCAATTGCCAATTACCGTCTTCCTTTCCCACTTCTCTTCTTTGCCCCAGACTGCCTCTGCCCGCCCTGCAAACAGGGCATTGCTAAAATGCTCTGATCTCACAAAAAGGCAGATAAGCACAATTGCAGGGACTCAGACTGGCCAATGCCAGTTGTTATCTGATCCCGAGGCCTACGGTAACTTTTGATAAGCTGCACAGACGAGCTCACACAGTTCTGAAAGCGTCCCTTTATTTGCTGAGTGCTCAAGGCAGCTGGCAATAAAAGAACAGGAAAATAAAATCCAGCATGTCCAAGTAACTAAAAACAGAGAGCCAGTTCAGTCTAGTGGGAAAGGTGCTGGATTAGGAGTGGGGAGATCATCATCATCATAATATTTATTTCAGTCATTGTCCAATAAAAATAAATACAATAAAACAGACAACAATATTACCCCTTTCATCAATAACTATTAGCAACCATTTGCGGGCGAAGCTTACACATTATATAGCAACATTTTGCAACTTTTAAAGAAATAAATTTATTTTGATTATTTAACAAATAATGCAAGTAAAAATTATCGGAATGCCCAGGGAGTTTAATTAAAAGAGGGGTAATCAGCTGAAAGCGAACGTCCCTATAATACTGACAATACAAAAGAACATGGACTGTGGTTTCAATGGCACCTGTATCATGATGATGGAGTGGGGAGATCTGAGTTCGAGTCCTGCCTTAAGCACAAAGCCAGATGGGTGACTTTGGGCCAATCACCTTCTCTCAGTCATGGGAAGGAGGCAGTGGCACAGAACTTTTAAAAATGTTGCCAGGAACACCGCCCCCCCTCAGACAAACAAACAAACAAATAAATAAATAAAATCTCTATCTTTCCTTACAATGAAATAGGGAAGTCCTCTAAAATAAAGAAAGGGCATTAATCCACTCCTTTTATTAAGAGGGAGTTTGACCAATCTCTGTTTTGAATCCTCACTATCCTTACTTTTCTAGGAACTCACATATTCCTCCCTTTATGATTCAAGTAGGAATGGAAGAATAGAACATGGAAAAGATCAAACCTTTCGAAACTACATGTTAAAGGTGCAGATAAATCTAATCATTTTTAAATGCAGGTGTTTTTTTTTTAATCAAGGATATCCCTCTATTTAGAATTCATCCCTCTTGGAGGAGAAATGTGAACAAGAAACGTGAAATGTGAGCTAAACCAGGAGAGCAACGACACATGATCGAGTAAGGGCTGGAACACACATTTCCAAATGGGTCCATCTGTACGCCAGCTGAGAAAGAAGCAGAGCACTCTTCACAGTGGCTGAGATTTGGGTTCAATCCCAGCAGAAGTGTAATTCACAGGGTGCATCGAATGAGCAGCCTGGTTGACACAGGTTCGTAAGAACTGCTTCACTAACCTTGTAAATAGTCGATCCCAGCTGTGCAGGAGACATACTGACAATGACACCAGCATTCTGAAGGGCAGCAATTTTCTCTTTGGCTCCGCCTTTTCCGCCAGCGATGATTGCTCCTGCATGGCCCATTCTCCTGCCGGGAGGAGCAGTGACTCCGGCTATAAACGAGACAACGGGTTTGGAGTCCGGACCCTGGGAGGAAAGATGTGCATTTCAGAAAGCGGGGCAGAAATACAATCGGCCCAAGGAGCGCAATTACTGGTGCAATCAGAGAATAAAGGATGTGTCTGAACTGACACAGATGCCAGAACAGCAGCCTGGAGATTCTGGGCCAAGAAAACTGGAGCAGAACTGCTGTGCTGAGCATAGGCAGGTCATGAAAACTGAATAAAGTTAAGCTGCAATGATAGAAAACAGCTCTTACTGAGGATATTCTAGGGTAGAAACAGGCATTGGATGACCCTCCAAATGGTGCTGAATTCCAACTCCCAACAACCCAAGTTAGTGCTATTGACAGAACTGCACCTTCCAGAATATACATATACTCCTGCAGAATTTTGACCATTTTAGCTAATTATTCGATAATTATTTTTTTAAAAGGTAAAACAGATAACAACAAACATGTAGCAGTGGGCCCATGAAAATCTGCAGTACAAAACAGGTCAAGGAACTTTCAGCAGGCAAGCTGTCAAGAGTTAACGGGAGAAATCAAAGGACAGTCTTAACTGGCGTTTTTCTGCCATGAAGGAACCCCCAAGGCTGATCAAAAAAACATTTTTTTCCCCCAGGATACCCAACAAAATATGTAACACATCATTCTGGCCATTTTCAAACTTGGCACAACTTCCTGGCCACCCTGCCCATAAACAGAGCTGTATATTTCCATCACAGCTTGGGAATCTTTCCAATTAAACATTGGCTGCGTCCATGAACATCTGGGCCAGTTCTTACATTCATCTTATGAAGTGACACCTCAAGATATTGTAAGGAGTCTGAATACTATCAACCAGCTCCCAGCAAAGAGATGGATATTTTATTGTTCATGGACATTTCAACTGCCATACGTTGCCCATTTTTCCTTAAAATAATTAATGTGGTACTGCGGCCTATACACTGATTCTCAATCCTGCAAAACCTGTTTACTCCCCTGGGAGTTTTTTTGAAAGTTCCCGTTTTTTTAAAAAAAATAGCCCCACCCTACAGATGTGCAAAATGTCATCAGAATGGCCTAACCACGCAACATCTTACTTGGATCTCAGGATGGGCATTCCAACTTCACTGCAATTGGTCTGAGTCTGTTCCAATGTTACCAAATGTACTCTGGTTTTGAAATGGACTCTCTGAACTAGTTTCACACTTGGAATCGCTTGCTCTGAGGCCAGAACACATATTCTATTTCTAGTGAGTCAAAATAGCCTATTCCAAGGTTAGAACATGAAGTTTGGAGTTAGAAATGCTCTGATCTTGAAACAGTTTGTACACCTCTACTTAAACCCATTTCCATGCATTGGCAACTAGGGGTGTTGTAATATTCACCGCAAAATATTAAATTGGGAACAAAACTCATCACTGTATCACTAGCCTACAAAGGATATAGTCTATTTATGTTGAAAAAAAGAGGACAAGATTTCTTTTCCCCAAACTTCATTGTACTAATTATGATCAATTTAGCCAAGTGTTGGCATAGTTTATTTCTATCACGTGCAATGGGGACCAGCCTAATTAGCTTATATTTGCAACCAAGTTAGCGTTCAGGAAAGGGCAGAAAATAGATCAGAATCTACTTGTACATCTCAGGGCAATTCACTTTAAATCAGAAAGGGCCAGGAGGGTTAATAGGTGCAATGACAAATATAGCTATGACAAATATAGAGCTCTAGTTTGGTGTAGTGGTTAAGGTACTAGGCACAAAGCCAACTTGGTAATCTTGGGCCAGTCCCTCTCTCTCAGTCCTAAGAAGGAGGCAATGGCAAATCACTTCTGAAATCCTGAAAAACTGCAGGAACTGCAGCAACAGTGACTCAAAGGCACTAAAAAAAAAGACAAATATACTTGCTCCACATTCTAAATATGACTGCTAAAACAAAAAAACCAAAGGAACCAAGCAGAAAACCCCTCCCCTCCCACCATCCAAAATCCTCTGGACTAAGTACGTACATGTAACCTCCTTTCATAGTTCTGCTTATCTTCTTCCATCCCCTCTAGCACCTAATCCCAACTGGTAGGCCTTGAGGATTCAGCAAAATTAAAAACAAAACAAAACACTTCTCTCCAGCTTTTATAATATGAGTGGTAGTGCTTTCAAGGTGGATTGTCATCAAAACTGCACCATAGGAAATTTTGGAGGAGGAGGAGGAGGAGGCTGAGGTGCTCTGGGACTTTGGAGTTCAAGCAGACAAAGCACCTGCCACTCAAGACCCCAGACTTAACAACTGTTGATAAGAAAGACAAAGAAGTCTGGATAGTGGACACTGCAATACCTGGAGACAGC